TCTTCCCCCCCCCCATACAGATCTTTGTGAAGATGGATTTGGCCAGGACCCCTTCTACAAATGCTTGGTGGCCGAGGTGCCCCCAGAGTGCCACAGTCAAGAGGGTAAGTGGTATATTCAGGTGCCCTCCCTGTTTGACACGTGGGGAAGAAAGCCCCCCCCCAGTGGGCCCCAGCAAGACGAACAGCCACCCCCTCCCCACCCCACGCTGCCACTCAGCCAGACCGCAGCCAAGAAGAACTCCTTGCAGAGGAGGCCAGAGCGCCTCTCTCAGGCCGTCCCCGAAAGACATTTGCCCTCTGCTTTGGTTTCAGGCAGCGTCAGGCCAGATCTGGGTCAGAAAGACCTCCGGGGCAGGGGGCATGAAGGGCGGGATCCCAGAGGGCAGGCGGCAGGCCCAGGGGCCGCCTTGGTGGCCAAGGGCCGCTACCCCCGAGGGCCCTTCAACACAGAAGTCCCTCCGTGTTCCCTACAGGCCACACAGTCGTCGGCTACGGCCTTTATTTCTTCACTTACAGCACCTGGAAAGGAAGGAATATTTACATGGAAGATCTCTACGTGATGCCAGAATTTCGGGGTACGGCATTCAGACCGGGAGTGGGGGTGGGAGTGGAAGAGCCGGTGGGCACTGGCAGGAACCGCCACAGGGGAAATGTGTCCGGATGAGCCTCCAGAAGTCCCCGGCAACGGGGAGGGAGCGGAAGAGGACAGGCCAGGCCACGATCTGTGGCTGGAGGCAAGAGACTGGGTGTGGACTGGGTGGGTGGGTGTGGCTTCTCGTGTTTTGCACCTGTGGAGGCCATCTTGCAAAGCTGTGCTCTCTGTTTCTTGACCCTCCTCGCAGGAAAAGGGATCGGGAAGAAGCTGATGAGCTCAATTGCCCAGGTAACCCTTTCCTGCCTCTGTTTCCCCCGTTGCTGTGGCCGGGGAACAGACTTACGGATAAATAGTTAGCCGTTGCTCAGCCCTCAGGGAATTTTACCAGTAGGCAAGGGAGTGACTGGAAGAAGACCAGGTTGGCCTTTTTGGACAGTGGGGAATGCGGCTGCCAAGACTGGGCCCAGCTCCACCTCCCCTCTGGAGCCCTGGCTGCTAGTTCCCTCCCCAGTCAGTTTCCGGTCTTCCCAAGGAGCATGGGGGTCTTTCCCTCCCAACCTCCCATTCCTTGCCTGCTTCCTCCCCGGCAGCTCCTGCCTCTGCTCCCCGGCTCACTCCCACCAGACCCTCTTGCCCCCCGCAGGTTGGCTTGGAGCAGGGCTGCTCCCAGATGAGGTTCGCGGCGCTGGACTGGAACCGCTCGGCCATTGACTTCTACCTCCGCCAAGGGGCCGTGGACCTGACCGCCACGGAGGGCTGGCACTTCTTCCGCTTTGAGGGAGACGCTATGCGGGGGCTAGCCCGGGGGGAGTCGGGGTCGGACCAAGTCCCTGCACCGGTGTGAAGGGTGGCGGGGCAGCGATCTCTACACTGAGCGGGCGGGTCAGGAAGTTCCCCTTCCCCAGGTCTCCCCTGGAGGAGCCCTGGAGCTCCTTAATCCTGTGGGAGTCCGGTGGGGTGGAGGGAGGAGCCCCCCTTTCACCAAGGCCTTGTGAACTGGCTCTCGCGTAGAAATTAAAACACAAATGAACAGCTGCTGAGTCTGGTACGCTCTCTCATTGATAATACTAATGCTAAGAATACTTTCTGTACCTGCTTTCAGCGTACTCCAGGTTTTGGAATCCTGAACTCCTTATCCTCTCAGTGGTAGCATTGATCTGGGGTACTTGGCTTGCCCGAGGTCATCCAGCAGCTCCGAGTGGAGGAGTGGGGGAATCAAACCTGGTTCTCCCAGGTTAGAGTCCGCACACTCAACCACCACACCAGACTGGCTCCGTGAGCTTCTTGGCGGCAGTGCTCCCTCTGAGCTGAGTTAGCGTGAGCTGGCTCACAGTTTCTTAGCCTCCGGCTCACACATTTTGGTCGTAGCTCAGGAAGGGATGGCTCCACAGCAAACTAATTTATGCAGCCGCCAAATAGCTCGCTCACAACGTTTAATGCCAGGAGCTCACAAGTGGAATTTTTGCTCACAAGACCGCACAGCTCAGAGGGAGCATTGCAGCCAGTGTTCCCTCTAAGCTGAGTTAGTGTGAGCTGGCTCACAGTTTCTTAGCCTCCGGCTCACACATTTTGGTCGTAGCTCAGGAAGGGATGGCTCCACAGCAAACTAATTCATGGAGCAGCCAAATAGCTTGCTCACAACTGTAACGCCAGGAGCTCACAAAGTAGGATTTTTGCTCACAAGACCCCACAGCTTCCAGGGAGCCTTGTTAGTGGGGTTGTTTGCCTGCTTGGGAGCAGGATTCTAGACTTGGCAGACTTCTCTGGGTCTCCCGCGACCTTGGCGAGGCGTGTGGCCCTGTGAGAGAGGCTGGCTTGCCCAGAAGGTCCCAGTGAGGTCCATTCATGGCCGGGCAGAGGCTGGAGGCCCCTTCCCCAAGCGTGATGCCGGCCAACCACGAGGCTGCCCTTCTGGACGCAGAGCGGGCCCCGCCCCAAGGCACGACGACACAGACTGCCACATAACTGTGCGTTTATTTGCTCGGGGCGGTTGGCCACCCCCTTTCCGGCCCTCCCCCCAGCAGTGCCTCCGGCCCGTCCTTCGGCCACGCTCAGCCCTTGAGGTTGATTTCGCACACCCAGCTGTATCGTTGGTGGGTGCAGTGCGCTTCGCTCCACAGCCCGTCCCGGTGAAGGTAGGCGCATCTCACCAGCTCGCCTGTCGTCATGGGGAAGCTGTAGGGCAGTCCGGGTTTCCAGTCTCTGGGGTGGGGAAGCAAGGGGAAGGGATGGAGGGGGACACAGGTGGAAGGTAGAGGCAGCCCTCGCAATCGTCCCTTCTCTTCACATTTGCTTACAGTAGGCAACGGGGGTGGCTATGGAGGCAAGAGGCCTGCGTGGGAGGGAGCTACCCCCGAGGCTTTGGGAGCTCTCGCCGGCGTGATGGGCGGGCCGCCGTGACCGAGAGGTGAGAGTCTCCCTCTTCACACGCTCAGAGGCACCCTTCGTCTCATGGGCCAGGAGGCAAAACCTCGCAGTGAGGTCCAGGGTGGGCTCTGAGACGCCCAGCCATTGGGCCGGGATCCTGACATGTCCCTCTGGTGGAGTTCCTGCCTCACCCGGGCCATTGTTCATTTCAAAATCTCAACTGTTATAGAACAAAAAGTTTGCATCTCCCTCTCGATGCTGCTGTGAGGCTTCCATGAGAGAGCACAAAGTAGGGCTGCGCATTAAATGCTTTAAATGATGCTTCGGTAGCAGTTGCCACCACAGCACAAGTTGCTTCACTGTGTGACTAAAGATAAGCTGCAGCGGCCATTCTGCGGATGGCTCTGCCTCCTGGGAGCCATTTTGTGGCCAGATTTCGCCTCCTGCGGCAGCCATTTTGTGGCCAGGCCCACCACACTGCGTCGGAATCCCAAAGCAGGCCTCAATGGAGTTCTATAGGGCCCAGAGACTTTCTACGGTCCCTCCCGTGGAAGGCAGTTTGAGACGTGAAGGGGAGAGGGGGCCCTGAAGGCTAGCAGAATCCCAGAGTGGCAACAACTCCCCAGCCTGCAGCCAGCCAGTCTGTGACACCCTCTCCAGGACCCCTGCTCTCTGGGCAAGCTCTTCTCAAGCATACTCCAGAGGCTGCGGCAGCCGCTGTACTCACATTCTGCGAACGTTGTAAGACGTCCCATCCACCCATTTCCAGTTCCCGTTGGTGTAGCTCAGGCCGATCCAGGTGTACCGAGGCTTTGTGCGCTGGGCCACGAATTGCTAGCATGAGAGGGGATGCCGACGGAGCAGTCCGTGAATACTCGCTGTCTTTCCCCCTGCCCCGAAGACACACTGGGAGCGGGGTGGGCAGTCGTGCTCCACCACCACCACCCTTGCTAAACAGACGGACCGTGTCCCCCAGTAAAAGGCAGGCCACTCACTTGCTCCAGGTAGGAGGTGATGGTCACCAGGCGGGCTTCCTTGTCCTCGCAGTCGGCCTTGGCTTCGTCCCAGGGCTTCTCCGTCTTGGAGACCCAGTAGCAACTTCTGCTGAAGGAATCCCAGCCTACCGGGCAGCAGGGTGTCCTGCTAACTGGCGGGAGGGGTGAAGAAGGCAGAATTCCTGTGATGGGCAGCCCCCCTCATCCCTCCATGCCCCAAGGTGGGGCGGGAGGGGGAGCAGGCTAGAGCACAGCAGTTAAAGCGGAGTCCTTTAGGGGAAGTGGGGCATCCTCTCTTGGCACAAAGGCCAGAGGGCGGGACCGGCGCCAAACATGAGAGGCACAGGGAAGGCACCCGGAGGAGGAGGAGAGGAGGGCTGGCTTTGATGCCAGGAGAGAAGCCGAGGCCTGGCAGGCCTGGTGCCTGTCAGCCGTAGGGGCCTGCTCCGATTCTCCATGGGGATGAACCCTTCCTTAGGGAGCCCGTCCAAAACAGTCCAGTGGCACCTTTAAGACCATGGTTGATTTCGCACTAGAGCTGCCTCGATGTTGCGCCACCGTTTGCCCCGATACTATTGGTCAATTTTATACCTGAAGCTGCGGGGTTGCATTTGACCCGCCGCTTCGCCCGATTTCCCCCGCCGGTTCGTGATTCTCAAAAAACAC